GATATCAATATATTCTGTGCTCTGTTTCCACACATACAGAACTGTTATCTCTAAATATTCCACTGTTTTTATCTGCAAAACTCCCCCTAAACTCCGATTTCTGCGATACTCTTCACAAGTCTCTCTCACACAATATCTCTGTCTCCCATTCCCTTCCCTATCCCTAACCGCCGACTATCTGTGCGCTCCTCTCATGTGAGAGCACTCTCTCTATCACTTTCCAAACTTCGCTCATTCACTCACACACTCTCTCCCTCTTGACTTCACTCTCTCACTCACTCACACACTCTCTCTATGAAACACTTCTTATCGGATATCATATTATTATTTCAATATTTTTTAACGAAGAAAAAGTACGCATACATACAGTAAACAGTAATTCAGTGTTTCATTCACTACAGGCATTAGTCAAAGCCCTCGTGTGTGGCTTTGATCCCACAGTCAGTCTCTCCATCTCCCAGTTTCTCTCCTCTAATGCCATACAATGGTTGAGATTATTGTTTTTGAAATCACTTTTTTAAATTAGCTCTTTCTTAATGCATTGGTATTATTATATTTATACTGTTATGTATTGTATACATGTATGTTATGTATGTATGAAACTCTAACATTGTATTTCATTTGCTTATGCATTATCTCAATCGCTACTTAACTTTCACTAATGGCTTCAAAGCACTCGTATATAATAATCATTGGTTTATTGAAAAACAATGCAAACGTTTTTTTTTTTTGCAAACATTATTTAATAATAAGTTTTGTGACAATTGAAAGAAATGTCTGTCTTTTAAAGTGAAAGCAATAATTTTTGCAATAATGTCGAGAAAATTACTTTATTTAGACACAGAATCGTTGGTATTCTTCCTCTCATTTCTTAAGTTTTGTTTTTATTACATTTTTGAGTGTTTAACCAAAATATTCAATGAATGCATAATTATTATTACAGCCATTTCTTTGGGACAACGATATAATTATACAAATTAGTGACCAATGATTTATTCCCTAAGCAAATGGCTTTTGGTTTTCTTATAATTCAATTATATATTTGTTGCCTTTTAAGGGAAAACATGTATATTTTGATCTAAAAACAAAAAACACATACATTTGAAACGAAACGAAATATGTTTAATAAAATTTAATGATAAACACGATGTGTTTATTCAATATCTTTATTTGCAAAACATAGACCCCGAGCCGTCGTTTAATAGCTGCCAGTGCTATATGACTGTCACACAGTTTGATAAGATTTATGAAAAAACATAACTTTTTATTATAAGTCGGAATTTTTCAGAGAGAGAGAGAGAGAGAGAGAGAGAGAGAGAGAGAGAGAGCTTATAGCAAATAGAAAACAGGTGTTCCCGATATGCGACCGTTCACTACTCGCATCTCAATAATACCTGTGCTGTCAGTACTGTATATATCCTGTGCTCTCAATACTGATTGCAATGAACTTCACATTTAATCTGCTCTTGAGTTCAAAAAAGCGAGATATAATGGTAATAGACTTCGGGGCCATTGAATAGTACGTAACCATTGCATTACACACTACTGTAGTTAAAACACAGACAGACCCACAGATACACACACTCCTCGGCCCTGTCATAACCATTCAAAGCGAGAGCACACATACCTTATTAAGAGTGAGATCGTTAAATTATGTTGGGTTTTGCCTTTTTAAATACCTTTTTTCACATTACATATACTCCGCGTTTCGCTGACTCTCTAATTACGATCAGATAATTGGCCCGAAAAGGGATGGCCAGCGAAGGGAAAGGGTATACACTTTATAATTAGTCTAAAGACTAAACTATAGGTGTATCGCGTTTTTTGTTGACAAAATAGCCCTTAAATACGAGTTTCAAGTTTCAGTCACTCAATGCAAACAGTCGTTAAAAATATGCCGTATTTACTGCGCCGGGCGTTGAAGTGAATTGAATTTAAATTATCAATTATTTTTGTGTGATATTTATTTTTTGGGCAAATAAATCATTTTATTTCATTTCTTAGGCATTAAAAAAGTTAATAAATAGCTTTGAAAAGCAAATACTTCTCTCACTATACAAATGGACGGTTTTTTATTATTGTCGGAGAATTTCAATGAGAAATAACTAACTTTTCATTGATATACAGAATATATTTATTATACATAAAAAGATAGCATTAAATCAATTATAAAGATATTTATAAATAGCTTTCGATTTCAGATAATAATAAAAACGAGAAGAAAAAGTGAATCAAACTCTCATTCTTGGAGTGCATTATATTTATATAGAGACCGATAGAGTCTATGATGGATGACATTAAGGCTTTCATTGTATTTGTTAACAACAACTTTCTCTCCACAAGATTTCACTTTAGAGATCACTTGAAGAGAAATAAAACGTTATATATTTTTAAGTGAATTAAACGAAATTTCTTTTCGCAACAAAACAGTCCACAAAAAATATCTTAACTCGATTTGAGCCCAAATACTCGGCACTCGTATGTAAGCGCAGGTAAGCGCCGACACAACTCTCCCATACATACAATACACTGGGGTTTAGTAAAAATGTGTAGTAAAAAAGAGAGTGAAATAAAAAAGTTTTGTCAATCGATGCGAACATAATTTGCATGCAATTGAGACACCGGTTTGTGACTGAAATGATAGACCTATATTCAGGTATACAACGGGAATATAATTGAATTTAATTTTTTTGTGGTACTTTTTTAAGCATGTTTTTTCAATGTCACCGGCCTTTGCAGGACAGGTCTCTCTTTCCCTCCCTTTCTCTGTGTCTGTGTGTCTATTGAATGTGTGGTCACTTATGTCAAAGTCCATTAAGAGGAACAGTGGCCTCAATTGCACTGCATTTCCATTTGCATCGATTTAAAAGTGAATTCACTTATTCTTTGAGTGTTTTTCAATTTAAATCATTTAAATCTCTATAAAAAGGTTTTTTGACCAAAATATTTGCCACAACTTTCCTAATGCTTGTAAACAAGAAAAACAATTTGTAAATTTAAAACTGAATTTTTATTTTATATTAATTTATTATTTATATTAACAGTTGTATTGACATTTAAATTAGAAAAACAATAATTTAGCTTTGATTACGGTAATAACATTTAAATAGTAAGCATATTTAGATCGGAAAAATACTGTCCTGGTAATTTGAAGGTTTTGTCTCCTATAAAAAAATATAAAAACAATATTAAAAACATAACAAATGAATTAATCCATAATTAAATTTACGTCAAATTGTAAAACGTGTTGTTGAAAGAGGGAATCGTTGAGATTGAATGACCAGCTCTTTGCGGCCAAATCTTTCTGGCGTTGTTGTAATTCATTGATTGGCTCATTGAGTGATAAGTCGGGATCTTTGCCAACAAATTCAATGCACTTGGGGTCGCACATGAATGCCGATAATGTGAGCAAAATAGTTGACGCCGTATAGGCACAGCTCCACATCTCGGGATACACGTCACTAATACCCGGAATACCTAATTTGGTTGTAGTACTGAATTTACCCGATGGGGTCCTCATGTATATGGCCGGTGCCGAGAAGGGGTAACTCTTCGGATAATACAGAGTCCCGAAGTATGTGCCGCCCGAAAAGGGTGTGTCCGACGGACCCAACAACACGTATACCCTAAACGTAAAATAAGTCGGTGTTATAAACTATATTATGTTGAAAGTAAAGTTAATGAATTTTATATTTATTTAAATTTAAAGTAATTAATAAATATTTGCTAAAAATCAAACCATTGAAAATAGTTGTCTTCGATTGGATGTGCAATGATATTGTCGATCGGATTTCTCAACAGCTCTTTGTATTCCTTCTTTAGACGAGTGACCGAAAGGTCAGTCTTCGGGATTGTCTGAGAATTCATTTCATAAGTTGTATCACTTTCTTGGCGTCAATTATTAATGCAAATCAAATGCAAAATGGATGCAAAACATGGTTTTTGTTATAACTGTTGTACTGAAAAGCATTTATAATTTAAATGAATTTTTATGGCAATGATTTGCATTTTAATATAACTTATTTATTAATGGATTAGAAATTCATTTTTTGACTTTTGACAGATAAACTATTAGGATATCTTTATCTGACTCGTGAGTTGAGTATTTTACTTTCTCTCTCTCTCTCTCTCTCTCTCTGATAAAAGCTACTTTACTATGGAATTGGAGTGCATTCAAAAACAATGGTTGTGATAGCAATAGTATAAATTAATTAAAAATTTATTTTATTTCTAGTGCCACACCATCGCAACTGCCCACTGGACAGACAGCTCTTTAAACAAACAGTAGACAGTTTCGGTTAGGTTACCCAATACAATACCAGTGCCCACCACTTCGCACATTGGCGTTCAGTTCATTTACAAATATTTTACAATACATTTAATTTTATTTATATAACAGTTATTAAACATCGGTTTAGATTAGTGGGAAAAAATAATTATAATTGTCATTAAATTGAATAATTAAATATTGAAAATTTTCGTTAAAAATATTATCCCATAACTTCTATATTGCAATTCTTCGTTTCGCTTCCTATAATAAACAGTAAACACATAATTAAGAAAAACTAAACAACAAAAACAATGACCGCATAAATACATCGACGAGTTGTGGAAACTGTGCGCAAAATAGGGGATCATTGAGATTGAATGACCAGCTCTTGGCGGCCAACTCTCTCTGGCGTCGCTTTAATTGGTCGGTCGGCAGCCATAGCGAGGCCGCATCGTAGCCCGGAAATGGACAGCTCTTGTCGTCCCACATGAATACGGCTAACGTAAGCAAAACAAGAGACACCGTATTTCCCAACCACCAGCCCTCAGGCGCCACATCACTGATACCCGGAATACCCAGCTTTTCGGTGGCACTGAATTTACCCGATGGGGTCGTCATGTATATCGCCGGCGCGTGAAATGGGAAATCGTAAGGATAGCATAGTTTACCATAATATATTCCTCCATTAAAGGGGGTGTCCGGCAAACCGCTCAACACATATACCCTTAAAATTTTTGAATAAATATATACATGTAGCAATAATTAATATGAATTAACAAATATTTATATAACAATTAATAAATTGAGAAATCAAACCATTCAAATAAGTTATTATCGATGGGATGTGCGATGATATTGTCAATCGGATCAATCAATAGCCTGTAATATTCATTAATCAGACGCTTGACCACAACGGGTCGGGGATAACAGATTGTCTGATCGTTCATTTAATTAGTAGTTTTGAGATCAAGTATTGCTCTATAATAAAGTTTTGATTTAAAACCCCACTACTTGTATAAATATACACTATATATGAGTAAAATATGAATAGAGTATAAATTACATAGATTTAGCAATAAGATTGTCCTACAGGTGCCCTGACCCATACATATATCAATGTATAGAAATATTAAATATAATATTGTGATAATGAGTATATTTTGTGTAATAAATGCTCTTTATTTGATTTGAATTTACTCATCAATGATTGATCAAGTATAAAGTATTTTTTGAGTTAAAACCTTATTAATATAGACCGCAAAATAATGCGTTTTTGATGCTTTTGCACTAAAAAAATTATTTATAACTCATTATTACAAATATTAAAGCTGTGTTCAATGCAATGAATCAAACATTAGTTGTATATAAAGTTAAGT